GATGTCATGGCAGAAATTACAATAGTCTTAGAAATTAATAATCATTAGATTTCATGGTTCATAAATAAGAAATATCTGATTAAAATATATTATAGTTCTACTGCAAATTCACATAAAGCTGTATTTATACAAGCCTCTTAACTCTACAGAAACTGGTTTTGAAACGATACCTGATTTTATCATGGACTTTTAGATTTTACACTTTGAAATAGAACTTTTGCTTATAACTGAAAATAGTGTTTTAGTTATATTCAGCATTATGTGGAAATGTGAAACTCCTAAAATAGCCTATAAAGGAAATAGGTTTAATTTAGTTTCCAGAAAAAAAGCCAGAACATGCAATGCTATAACACAAAGTACTTTCATGTTTAGAAAGTTAGAAAATGAAAAATAGTTACTTTAGTAATTAAAAAAAACATTGCTTGCTAAATGAAATGAAATAACCATGAGATGTGTTCTGAGGAGAATATTCATTTACCTATGGGTGGTACATTACAAGGGGACAGGAATCAGATCTCACTTCTACAGAATTTTCTAATTATAAAGTACTCAACAAATGTTTAATAAATGTATAAATGAATAGATTTCATTTTATATTTCTGGTAGCAAGTAGGGATTGGTGACTTGAGCATAAATTGAAAGCTTCATAAAGGGCTGGACCTACGAAAATGTCACAGTCTGGGCCTGGTGTTCAGAAATTATGATCCACACTTACCAAAAACTCTCCTAAGTTCTGAATGAAAAAGATGGATGGTGGTATTTCTTCCCCCTTCCTTCATTAAGGTTATTCAAATTCCGAGAAAATGTTTTGAACATTTTAGAGCAAACATGTGGTAATATTCAAAACTTTGTAAAATACTTCATTTACATTATGTGCTTTAAGCCCCACTTACAGATAGTATATCTCAAAAGAAAAATGCGTATGCATTAATTATAAACTGTTTGTTAATATTATTATTATTATTGTTATTGCTGGTGTCTCATTAGAAATAAATTGTTAAATTTAATATAATTACAGGACTATCATTATTTTGCTTTATAAATTATACTTTGTGAGTTTAGCCATAAAATTTCATTATTTCAACCACAAATATCTTTTTCTACATTCCTTTTACATACATTGTAATTTTACCTTTTAACTTTAGGTCTCTGAACACATTTAAAGCTTACTTTTATATAAAGTGTAAGGTTGTAATCTTGTTTCATCTATGGTCTCATAATGAGCCATTTTCCCAGTATCATCTACTAAAGAATCCTGTATACTCTCATTAAATTATGGGCACATTTCTTATATATTAAGATCCTGTATGTACATAGATTGTTCTCGAAGCTCTCTGTTGGCCAACTATTTTTACAGTGGCACCATATGGGTTTAGTAGTTGTACTAGATGGTACGTGAAGTCCCATCCTGTTACTCTTCCTCATCAAGGATGACAGCTATTTATAAAACAGTTTTATATAGTTTTAAAAACATGTTCATTTCTGAAATAACATGCAATATTTTTAGTATAACATTCAGTGTGTGAATTAATGATAAAAATTGATTTTTGGTCAAATTAAGAAATAATATCTAAATCTATGGAGTATATTTTAATGTGTTCAGAACATCTATTATTTTTTCTCTTTTTAATTTGATAGTATAATAAGTTTTTTATAGAGAACTTGAGCATCTTTTGCAAATTAATTCTAAGATTTTTGCATATCTTTTGCTGTTATAGCAGGCAATATATAATAATTTCTGGGTACTGTGACTGATATGGAGAAATACTGTTAATTTTATTTAGACTACTTGGCTTGGCAAACTTTGCTAGGCTCTATTTTAGTATTAATTATGAGACAATGTCAAGAGCTATAAACTAATTAATAATTTTAACCACAAAAATTCCAAGATTTTCTGAATATCAAAGAAAAACCTTCATAAACAAAGAAACACAAAGTCAGAACTATGCAGTTATATCATCTTTAATTATTTTAATTAAAAAATCCCAACAATCATTGTTTCATTAAACACATATTTATTGACTTCTACTACCGGTATCATTTGTGACTAACTTCTTTCCCATAGCATTATGTTTTCAAAGTTCTTTCATATTGTGGCATGTATTAGTATTTCATCATTAAATATAAGACTAGTTTTTTTTTTACTCTTTTTTAAATGTAGATATTCTTTGTCAGATCAAGGAAGTTCCATTGTATTCTTAATTTGCTGATTGTTTTTATTATAAAGGGGTTTTGGCTTTTGTTAAATGCCTTTCTCCCCCTATATCTGTTAAAATTATCATGTGTTATCTTTTTGCTTTTTTATTCTATTAATATGGTATATTGCACATTGATTTTATTTTATTTATTTATTTTTATTATTATTATTTTCTTTATTTTTTTTAGGCAAGGCAACCCTTGGTTGACCTCACAGATTGCGAGGACCTTGTCAGTTTACAATTCCTTATTTTTTTTAATTTATTTTTTACACTTAATGCACCTGGTCTTCCTAGGTGGTCTCCCATTGCACATTGATTTTAAATGTTAAAGCAAACTTACATCATTCCTATGATAAATCCCACATGGTCATGGTGCATAATCCTCTCTATATGTTCCTTGGTTTGTCGTTCTATAATAGTATTGAGGAGTTTTGTGTCCAGATTAATGTTACATTAGTCTGTAGTTTTCGTGTTATGTCTTTGGTTTCATTATCATTGTAATATGGGCCTCATAGAATGAGTTAAATGTTCTCTCCTCATTTATTTTTGGAAGAGTTCGTGAGTAATTTCTATTAGTTAAATACCATTTAATATATTTAGTTGTAATAGACGTATTCAGATTTTCAGTTTCTTCATGAGTTTAAGTTATTTCCATTTTTCTAGGAATATCTGTATTTCATCATGGTTACCCAGACATTTGGATATATAGTTGTCCATAGTGTTTCCTAATAATTCTTTTTCTTTATGTAGTTTCAGTTATAATGTCCCTTCTCTCATTCTTATTTTTAGTAATTTGATTCTTCTCTCTGTTGTTCTTAGAATAGGTCAGGTCTAATTATTTCGTTATTTCTTCCAAAGAACAGACTTTTGGTTTTATCAATATTCTCTATTGTTTATCTATACTCTAATTTCATAGTATGGTTTGATTTCCTTCCTTCGGCCTGCTTTAGGTTAAATTTCCTACCTTGTTCTATTGTGTTAAAATGTAAGTTTAGAATATGAATAGAGATTTTCTTTGTTTTTAACTAGGCATTAATAACTATAATTTTACTCTAAGCACTGCATCAGTTATATTTCCTGAATGTTGTCATGTTGACTCTTCATTTTAATTAATCTCAAATGATTTTCTAATTTCTTTTGTAATTTCTTTCTGATTCATTGATTATGTGAATGGTTATTTAATTTCCACATATTTGTGAATTTATCAAATTGCCTATTGTGTTTGATTTTTAATCGTATCCCATTGTGGTCAGAAAATATACTTTTTATTTTTTAATTTGTTTTAAATATATTGCAGCTTTTATGAGCATTTGGTCTCCCTTGGTTCCATGTGCATTTGAGAAGAACATTATTTGGATGTTATTGAGTGAAGTGTTCTATAGCTATCTGTTGGTTCTAGATAATTTATAGTGTTGTTCACATTTTCTATGTACTTGTTAATCTTCTGCCAAGTGTTATATCCACTACTGGAAATGGAGTATTGGAGTTTCTGACTGTTATTGTTGAATTGCTATTTTCTCCTTTATTGCTGTCAGTTTTTGTTTCATGTACTTTGGGTCTCTGTTGTTAGGTGCATATGTTTATAATTGCCACACTTTCTTTTATTTATTTATTTATTTGTTTGTTTGTTTTTTTATTATGGTGACATTGGTTAACAAAATCCAGTAAATTTCAGGTGTACAATTCAACTGTAAGGCATATATTGCATTGTGTGTTCACTGCCTATAGTTAGATTTCTTTCTGTCACTACATATTTGATCTCTTTTACCCCATCTAACTCATTCCTCCCTCCTTCCCCACTACTGTCTGGTAACCACTAGTCTATAGTCAATGTCTATGAGTCTCTGTTTGTTTGTTTGTTGCCTTTAGGTTGATATCCCACATATAAGTGATATCATGTGACTTTCAACTTTTTCTGTCTGGCTTATTTCACTTAGCATGATTATCTCAAGGTCCATCCATGTTGTCCCAAATGGTAATATTTCATCTCTTATTATAATTGCCACTCTTCTGATGGATTAGCTCTTTTATTATTATAAAATGACATTCATTTTCTCTAGTTATTAATTTTTCTTTTAAAGTCTATTGCGATTGATATTAATACAGATACTCCAACTTTCTATGATTGCTGTTTGACTATCTTTTCCCAATCATTTACTTTAACCTAATTGTGCATTTAAATGTAAAACATGTCACCTATAGATGGTATATACTTGTCTATATCCAGAAATTATCTGAAAATCTTTGCCTTTCAATTAAATTTTTAATCCATTGGATTTTAATATCATTATTGATATAGTTGGATTTATGTCTGCAAGTCTCCTTTTTGTTTTCCTCACGTCTCACCTTTTTTATACTTCTATTCTTCTGATACCGTATCCTTTTGTATTAAGTGAATATTTTTTAGAACAAAACTTTAATACCTGTACTGCTATTTTTACTGTATTATTTGAGTTATTTGAATTATTTTCTTAATAGTTGCTCTGAGGCTTACTATATAGATCTTAATATATCAGAATCTACCACAGATTTAATCTACCACAGATACTAACTTAAATTCTAGTGCGATATAGAAAACTTATTCCTTTACAAGTCTATATTCTTTTCTCTTCTTTGTGTGCTAACATTAGCATTCATAATGTACTACAATATACCTTATATAATAATTTGTAACTATATGTATATACGTTTGATATATAAATCCTAATATATTAAATAAAAGTGATTATTTAATATTATAAAATAGTTAAATTATGTTTTCCCAGTAAAATTATAACTTTTTGATAAATTAGATATTTTTGTTCAAAGGATGCATAAATACCTGGATATATTAAATTCATCTTCATAAATTGCTTCATGTTGACACCCACTTCCTTGGTAGTCAGTTTTATTTTCCAGATGCATTTTTCCAGGCCTTCTGGGAATACTTAGACAAAAATATTCTTTATTATCTTCCTCAATCAAACAACTGAATCCATTTGTACACATCTATAAAAACAAAAGAAGAAATAAGAACAATTTTAAATGTGTATAAAATACTACAATTATACAATTGTTTCAAAGTTTAAATTTAATTATTTTCTTTATGTATTTAATTCTTGCGTTTCTTTTGCAAAGGTAAAATTCAGTTTTGATTTATGTCAAAATCATGGTCAACAGTAATACTCAGTTTATACACAGATTATGAAAGAAATGCATATATTGTAAAAAGCTGAATAAACATCCATTTTTTAAAAATTACTTTAAAAATTTATTTTAATCATATTTATATAGATGTTGCTTAAATATTAACTGATAGGGTATAAACAGTATTATATTCAGACCTAGATCCATGGAAAATCTGTATCCTTTATCACTAAATAGTTTTTTCTTCTTGAGTGAGTTATTTGGATTTCCTTTGAACTGAGTGTAATATTTTACTATATCCATTATTAGAAATGAATTAAATAAAATCTTTAACACATATTTATATTTGCATGGAAGTCATAATTTTACTTTTTTTAAATTAAAAAAAATAAAATTTTACCTTTTAAAAAATATATCATTTTAATTATTATGAAGAACTCTTTCACGCATATGCCCAATGGGTTTACCTGAAAGAATTAAGTAAAATTTGTCACCAGAGAAATGTATCTCTCGAGGAAAGCTTAAAACTAGGCATATATTTTCCTCACTCTCAAAAGTAAATTCAAAACTTCTATAGAACTTTGATAACTCTTTTATTTTTTTCCTCGGCACTTTCATGCTTCCTTTTTGGTTTTGGTTTATTTATAACCAGCAAGTTATTTTCCATCAGTGGCAATAAAGATCAGAAATTTGGTTTCTTGATCTGATCCTATGGTGACAGATTAATGATTTACAGAGATCTAGACTCTGTTGAGTAAAAGTCAGATGAGAATCTGTTTTTCCATTTTGCCCTTGGGTGCTCAAGTCAATTAAAAAAGTCAAGGTTTTTATGAAGGAGAACAGTTCCTTGACATGGTCAGATCACTTCTTTGCTATTTACTCTTAATCTGTGGCTAAAATACTATAATTGAATCTATAAGCTTTCTCTACCTGTGTCTGTATGTTGTATTTGTACTTCAGTAAAGTCTTTATCTCTCAATATTTGAGCATGTAATAATTTCCTGCATGCAGAAGGTATTTGTTACAAAGTCTCTTAAATTAAAGGTGCAACGCTATAATTGTCCTACAAACTTAAGCACTTATACAGAAAACAACAATGATCTGCATTTTATGATACTGTCTTCTTGTCTGTATTATTTACATATATATGTAAATATATATGAATACATGTTATTTTTGTTTTATGAAATTTGTGATTGTGATGTACTTTGTCCCCAATTACTTCAGCGTGCAATTTTTTTAATAACAAGAATAGTCTCTTAAATTACTTCAATAAAATTATCAGTTAGGAAATTAACTGCTATAATACTATATTTTGTAACCTATAAACTTTATTCAAAATTTGCCAATTGTTCAAATATACAATATTTAAAAATCATATATATATATATATACACACACATATATATATGTGTGTGTGTGTGTGTATATATATATTTGTATTCCCCACCTTTAGTATAACTAGAAAATATAAAACTCCAAAACTTCAAATTACCCATGAGATGGTATATAGAAACCTAGATTCTTAGAAAAGTATTAGAGTAAAAACTATACCAGATGCAGTTAAAAAGTCGGGGAAGGCTATTCAAGACTATTGTTATAGAGAAGAGAGATAAAACTTAACTCTGCTGAAACAAAAGCCTGGAGGATTTTTAACTGCTGTCATGAGCTAGTGGAAAACTACTGGAGGAAATTAGGAAAGAAATTGATCAATGAGATATGTAAGGTACATTGAATTATTCCTGAGTTTGCATAGATATTGCTCTGTGGGTTGGCCTTCTGTCTTTGCTAACTGGAACACAATGAAGTTAGGTTCCTTCTCTTCCACAGGGATTAGGAAAAAGGGGTATTATTTCTTTCAATATTTGTACTTAAAAGAGATAATTCACAGATCCTTGAGAAAGATATTCCTTGGATCCTAAAACTGGCAAGAGGCTGAGAGGAGATTTGCATATATTTCAAAAAGGCAGAAAAATACTTACAGTTGTAAATTTTCTAAAGCAAATTCTTTAAGGAAAAAGATTTCAGGAGTCTGCAGTCCCAAAAAGTACCTTATGTAAAGTTTATTCAAAGCAAGAGAAACATTAAGAATGTCCTGATCATATTCTTAGCTGAATAAAAATACTGTCACGTGCTGCTTAATGACAGGTATATATTCTAAGAAATGCATCATAAAATATTTTCCTGCTTGTGTTAACATTATGGAGCGCATCACAAAAACCTAGATGGTATAGTCTACTACTAACCTAGGCTATATTGCTCTGTGGGAGAGGAAAAGTAATTTTCTCTACATCCTTTTGGGCTCTTGACTGAGATACTCCTGTACTAAAAGACAGATTAACAGGAGAAAAACAAACAAAAGCTTAATAACATATACACCTCCTACATCAATGGGAGAGACCCAGGAAAACTAAATAATTTGCCAAAATGGCTAAAGCCACCACCATAAATATGATCTTCAGCTTGAAGAAAAAAGAAGGTGCTGGGGTGAGGAGAGTCAGTTATGGGAGATTACCAGGAAAAGCAAGATGAACAATAATGTTTATTATGCAGATTTAAATTCTTGTCTTCTGTATTGACAAAAATTTCTAGAGATAAGTTCATTCCCCTTTTCCAGAACAACAAGAAAGACACAAATGGAGATTTTCCTTACAAATATAAATGTCTTTTACAAAGAGTAACTTCTACTTGATTTTCAGAGCTTCTCCTATATCTTCTGTTTTCATGAATTAACCACTCTAAAACTATCTTATGACAAAGAGGCATATTTTGGGGTGACAAGTTCTGTTTTTCTACAGCTCCTAAGCTACAAACAAGTACAGAATGTTAACATAGTTAATACTGTAGGCAAATATAACACAATAATAAGTATGAGTATGTGTTTCCTTAAGACTTTACACTGGCCACAATGTAACTCACTAGGTGATAGGAAATTTTCAGCTCCATGATAACCTATGGGACCAACATCTGTCATTGACCGAGACATCATTATGGGGTATATGACTGATTATTGATATGAACTAAAGTCCAAATTTATACTGGCTTGGATCTAGCCAAAATACTGAAATAGGTTACATTTGATAAAGGTCTTTCACATTCCAACTTTTATTGTCCCTTTTTGTCTTCTATGTTGTTTTAAAAGCAATCTCTATCCCTAGCAACTCATAATAATATATAATCTTATAACCTTTTTGTAAATATATATACTATATTTATGTGCCTTTCTTTCAAAAATGTTTGCATTTAAAAAGAACCTTGAAGAGAGACTTTTAACACAAAGTGACAAGAAAAAAATTCTGAGCTGTCCTAAAATAAATTACAGCAGGCTGGAGAATGAGACAAAGAGACAAGAGTAATTAACAAATTAATAGCTGTGGACAACGAATGAAAGATTGCTCACATTCCTGAATATGTGTTAGAGCTTTGAATCAACTTCTAGATGGCTATTTAAAAAGAAGTAGCCAACTACCAGATGCCAGCGCATCCTGCTTGTGTATGAACTTTCTAAACTGTTTCCCATAATGAATCAAAAGTAGAAAATATTTCTTTGTGCACTTTCTAGGACTATACACTTATCCTAAAACTGTCCTTGTTTTACCTTTTCCCATTCTCCTTATCTATAGCCACTGTAAATTATTTGAAAACAACTTGCATCTTTCTTCCCCAAAACATAGTTTATAAGAGAGCCATCAACTCCAGGTGGGTGGACATATTGTCTTCCCCATTAACTCTGCTGCTAGTGGATCAGACTGAATGCCTCAGGAACGTCATCCTTTTTCTAGGCAACACACAGCTCAATAAACTCATTCTTTTAAAACAAACTTTCAGCAGGGAAACTTTTTTGTTTAACAAAGAAATGAAAGGATACTTTTGGAATTTTAGTCCTTGATAATGAGAACTAAAATGAACCTTGCTTCCTGCAATATATTAAAAACACAAACACATACACACACAGAGAAAGAAAAAAGAAACTTATTCATTGCTCCATAAAATACTTGCACCTAAGAGGTAAGAGGTAATAACTAAAATAAGTTATTTACCAAGACTAACAACTTGCTTATCTAATTCACTTTAAGATTCTCATCACGCTGTGCCCACCAGCACAAAGCTTTATTCATAAACTCTGACTGATCCTTACCAGTAACCCATCCCACGTCTACCCACCAAGCCTCTACTGTATTAAAATCTTCCCATAACTTCTCCCTCCTGAAACATTAGTAAGATTCTGTTAAGGTATTGTTTTCCTTAACTGCATAAATCTAAAAGCATTATTTTTCTTGATCAATGAAATTGTCTGGTAGTCTTTTAGAGGGTCAACCATGAATAAACACGAAATTCTGTAAAGATCCAATTAAAATGCCCCCACTACAAAATAGTGCACGTGACAGTGACACAGGCATGGTATCAGGTCTGAACTTCAATTTCCTTTATTAAATTCCCAAATGCTAAGTTTATTTTGTCTTTTAAGAATAAAAAAAAGTAAGAGTTCTTTGATTATGTGATCCAATATAATCTAGAGAGAGAGAAAATCTCTGTTAACATTACTTCCTCTGGTGATTCTATAAGAGGATGTCTACTGGGAGAGAAGACAAGCATAGGTTTTATAATGGCATCATCCAGATGACTTAAATGAACAATGAGTTCAGATGGTCAAATCAGTCTGTATTCCTTGGACATAATTTTCCTGAAGTTGAATTTTCAAAATCTTATAAACACTTTTGTTAGGCCCTCCCTTGGGATTGACTGCTCTTTGGCAGGTTCTGAAGACACAGCATTACACAAGTACCTACATAAGTTTTCATGGGGTCCTCTCAGTCTCAAAGACTTCGACACCACACTTGCCTTCTTTCATGTTGTAATAT